GGTGCATATAAATTCATGCAGGGACACACACATAAAATAAGCAGATGTCCTTTAAAATAACCCAAATCCAAGGGTCTGGGATACAGTTCAGTAGCAGAGCACTTTCACATAAGACACCTCCTGACCAGACCCCACCCCAAAGAAGAAAAGGAAAGATCTGGGTGACAGATGGAGCCCATGATGGCCCTCTCAACACCCTTCTTCCCAGTCTCTATAGCACAGGGCCTTTCACTATTAGAAACGAAATCAGGGCCTCTAAGACCATGGTAGGTTATCTTCTCTAACCTTTGGTCTCAGAGGGAGTCTCCAATTCCAAGTCATTAACAGGGGTTGGTCTGTAGTTCAGTGTGTGTGTGTGTGTGTGTGTGTGTGTGTGTGTGTGTGTGTGTGTGTGTGTGGTCCTGAGTTCAAGTCCCACCCAAAATAAATAAAGCCATAGCAGAGACAAGTAGCTCCCATCTCTGAGAATCTTAGCATGCAGATAATGCCCTGTCCATAGGACTCCCACACAACCACACACAGCAGACAGACGGCCTAACCACCCAGTGCTCACGGCTTCCTTCTTCCCCCACTCTGTCCTCCTCTTCCATCCTTGATTCTCATGGCCAGAACTTGCCATCCTTCAGGTCTTATCCTACCTGTCTATTCCCTCAGGGTATCCCATTTTAAGCAGGTCCCCTGCTCTAAACAGTAGGATCTGACTCAGCCCTAGTGTAGAACACATACACACACAAAAAAATTAGATAATGAACAAATTAATGTAATTCATCACTTTAGGACCACAGCAAGAGTGTATCACCTGTGGGGTCAAACCAGGGTAGCTCCCCCCCACACCTATAACCAACAGCTCTCCAAACAGGAAGAGCACTGGACAAACAGGATCATTAGAAGGGCATTTCCCAACAAAGCATGGCAGTGAACTGGAAAAATGAAAACTGCTATCTGAATCTGTTTTCTCTCTTGACTAAAAATACTTGTTTGAGGGAAGGCTGTGTCTGACCCTGCATCAAGCTCCTGACAAATACAGTAAGGTGTGTTGGGAACCCATGGCACTGCTCCCAGCCAGCTGGCAAGAACAAGATGCCCACAAGTGAAAGGCAACCGAGTAAATGGTTGGCAGGAAGCTGAGGTCCAGTTAGTCTAGGGTCAGGGGTCCCAGCCAGGTGGTGGTGGTGCACACCTTTAATCCCAGCACTCAGGAGGCAGAGGCAGAAAGATCTCTGTGACTTCAAGGCCAGCTTGGTCTACAGAGTGAGTTCCAGGACAGCCAAGGCTAAAATTAAAATAAAACAAAATTCTTGGAGCTGAACATGAATCAGCAGTTCAAAACACTGGCTGCTCTTGCAGAAGACTAGGTTCAGCTCACAAACATCTCTTAACTCCCCTTCCAGGGGATCCAGTACCCCCTTCTGACTTCCCTAAGCACCAGGCACACACGTGGTGCACAGACATACATGCAGGCAAACACTCATGCACATAAAATAGAATAAAGTATTTTTAAAAAGAGGCTAGAGAGGTACATGGGGGAGGGGCAGTCCTGAAGAGCTGGGAAGTCTGTATCACCCCCTCCCAGGATCAGATCATCAAGAAAGAAAGGGCAGGGAGAATATAATAACCAGAGGAAGAGGGTGAGCAGTGCGCAGTGCTGACCTCCAGGCATGGCGGGATCACTTTTGTCACAGGAAAAGTCAGAAGTTGTCCCACCCAGCTTTCGGCTTACTGTAATGAAACGCCTCCAATCAACTTATGAGGAGAAAGGGTTTACCTTATCTCATAGTCGTAAAGGTTTCTGTGCACTGTCTGTGGCTTTTGAGTCTGTGAAGAGTTAACGTTAACTACATGACAGGAACACAAGGTAAAGGAAGTGACTCCCTCACAGAAGCTAGGGAAACAGAAAGAGAAAGAAGATGGAGAGAAGAAACCAGAACCATACAAGACCCTTCAAAGACACCCCCTCAGTGACCTAAAGTCTCCCAGCCCTGCCTCTTGAAGGTTCCACCACCAAACCTGCAGCACCTGGCCCACTGGGGAATATTCCAGAACTGAATTATAGCAGGAGCCAAAACATACAGAAGAGGGGTAAGGGAAAAGAGAGAGGAGAGAGGGGTTGGGTGAGGGAAGGGAGGGGGGAGGGGAAGGGAACGGAGGGGGGAGAGAGGGAAAGGAGGAAGGGACTCACTTAGAAAGAAATGCAAGAAGTCGGATTTCAGAAAATCCAGCCAGCCAATGAAAAGCAAAGGCGAGTATTTAAAGGCAATACCAATGGCAGATCTGCTAAATCTACCAGGATTTACAATAGTCTGTTCGTAGAAAAAACAAGACCTCCCTCTGCAGCCTGTGCTGTGCTACCAGGCCTTGGCAGAGGGAGGATGAAGCTGTCTCTACACAGATTTGCAGGGAATGTGAGAGGCATTCATATGTGGGGGACCAGGATTAGACACACAGGTTTACTACTGCGGCTTTGTCTTGGGAGTGAGAATTTCTTTCTCCTAACCTCAATCTAAGTGTGCCCAGTCATCATGGAAGCTGGGGCAAGTGTCAGAATTATTTTCACAGGATTTGTGGATGCAACATCTAAAAGACAGACCAAGCTGCTTAACACGGAGAAATAAGATTAAATGGAGTTTTATGTTCTGTCTGTTTCTGTAGTGTTTAAATGATCTGCATTTATCCAAATTGCTTTCATAACTTTTAGAAGAATGAGTAAGATCGTATAAACTGGATCAGTGAAGTGGCTCAGCAGATAAAAGCACTTGCCACCAAGCCTGGCAACGTGAGTTCAAGCCGCAGGACCCACGTGTCAAGAAAAGAATCCACTCCAACTAGATCATGTACATTTTAGGTGTCTACAGCCACGCCAGATCCTTCCTTAAGCTGGTCCCATTGGGTACTTTGTCACAATTATGAACAAAGTAATTCTGGCATCAACCCTTATGCTGACCACCCCACCACACCATAACACAAGTCCCTTAGACTCCGAATCTTGGAATTCTATAATCTCCTACCCTGATCTTTCCCCCATATCTTTACATTCACCCAGAAGATTAACCAGGGAGAGCCCTTCTCCAAGAACCAGAGGGGAGAACAAACACAGGGTGGGAGTCCTATACAGAGAGAAGAATCCTCTTTGGCAATGGAAGAGGCTTTTCAAGTCAACAGCAGCCTCATTAGTCTTGGAGAGAGAGTGGCACCCAAGGAGGGTCACATGCTTACTGCAGGTGAGGAAGAATGTATCCATAGCTTGTACTCAAAGCCCTCAGCCAGGTGCTTAGGGTGGCTTCAATGACCTGCACAAAACAAGCCAAATAGCCCAGAGCACCCCCCCCCACCTCTTACCTGAGCCCACAGGCAATGCCGATGATAAGTGTGCACTTCAGGATGCCCCAGGCTGGCTGGCTTCCTTATGTATTTTGATCACTGCTTTTGGAGAATATAAGATTTTTTTCTTATCTAACAGTCAAGAGTTAACATTGTTTGGGGGTCTCATTAGTTTCCCTTTTATTACTCAAACCATCACTATGACTGATCTGTGGATTGCCTTTCCCAAGGACACACAAAACTATGATTTGTCAAGGGCAGGTGGTCTGAATCTTCATAGCTCTATGCTAGACTCTAAGGTCTGAATTTGAATCCCTAATTCTCTGTGCAGTGACTGTGACTGTGAAGTCATCTAAAACACTGCCTGAACTTGGGTCCTCATGATAATGGAGGCAGTCAGAAGTAGAGATGAGCTTGTCACACTCCTAACCACCCAAAGACTTAAAATAAGAACAAGGTGGGTGTAGCAACCAATTCATAGTAAAAGCTGGTGTTGTGCATTGAACATACAAGGTCCATGCTGACCACTTCACATGTCAATTTGTGGAATCCTCTGTGTGAAGCTGCTGCTGCTATTGCCCCCAATTCACCAACAAGGACAAGGGGCCTTGGAAAGGTTGGCAACTTTCTGAACTTACCACAGCTGCTCAAATCAAATCTGAACTCAGGTTTCTGAGATCTTCTTCTTTCTCAAGTAGCCCCAGGTAGACCTAGAGTGGGCTGAGGGCAAGGACTAGCCTGAAGTCCTGATCCCAGGCCTTTATGGCTCCATCACCCACATTTTAGGTGTTTCTGGGGATCAGCCCCCAGGGCCTTTGATGTGCTAAACTAACCCTCTACCCACTGAGCTGCATCCCTGACATAGTGGGAAAGGAGGCTCTGCTGAGCTCAGTAGGAAGGCATGCTGAGTCCTGGAGAAGTCATGAGTAATACAGAGAAGGACCCAGGATGCTGGGGACTAGGGAAGGAAGACCAAGGCTCAGGGCAGCAATTTTCATCTGCTGCAACATTCTAACAGCCTGACAAGCTGTGTCTGTGAGTACCAGTTAAAAGACGGCCTTAACTTGGGTGTAGAGGTGAATAATTGAGCCAAAGTTTTTAGTGTGGCAATGGATGCATGTTTTCTGTATATAACCAAACAGCAGATAGTTTGGGTTTGACAAGCGCTACGATTTCTGTCCCAAGTTCCTAATGCTGTCCCTGTAGCACAAAAGCAGCCACAAGCAATAGTAAACAAACCAGTGTGGCTTCTATCCAAATGAGCTTTGCAAAAATGGGTAGCAAGCTGGCCGCCAGGGTTGTGGGTCACACTTGGCAATGACTGCCCTAATGCTTGACACAGTTATGTCCTTTCATTCTACAGGTATGTATTAAGTGTCTTCCACTTGGCAAGTATGGCTCTGAGAACTGACATACCAGACTGAATAAGAGAGATGAACACTCCCACCCACAAAGTCCCTATATGGGTGGGTGAGGCACACTCAGTTGGAAGTAAGAAATATAGAGGCCTTGGGAAGGTTTCCTGGGAGATGATAGTCATGTTGTTTTCCCAAAAGCCCGACACTGAGGGGAGTGGTCACCAATGGCTCCTTAAGAGTTGTTTCATCAAGACAGCCTGAGAAGGTTCACGCCTTTCCTCATGGGTTGTCTGTGGTCACCAGCTCTTCCTTTGTGTTTCCCAGTCTCAGAACAGCTACAATGATGGAGACTACGAAGGAGCCAGGAGGCTGGGGAGGAATGCCAAGTGGGTGGCCATTGCCTCCATCATCATTGGCCTGATCATCATCGGTATTTTCTGTGTGGTGCAATTCTACAGGAAGTAAGTAGACTTTCCAAATTCTTGAATGCTCATGGGACTCAATTGGGCTAGGTTAAGTTCAGCTTTAATAATAAAATTAACAAGGGTCTTCATCTTTTCTTCATGCTACACAGACCGTGCAGGGCAGATGAAAGGTCTGCCTTCCACACAGTCATTGGGAGACCCAGGCTGTCAATCACTCTACTACATTCTAGCAATTCTATCAGGGAAGAAGAGATGGGTTTAGCTTGACACAACTGTAGCCATCTTGAATCATGACTGCCATAACTGTCCAAAGAATGGCCAGAGTCAGTTTTTCCTGTTTAGTTTCCCACCAAACTACAAATAGACAAAATGATTAAAGTAGAAAGTGGAACTTTACAATCAGACTCAGGCTCAAGGGGTACATCTGACCTTTCAATACCATCTGAAGATAAACTAGGGACACTCCAACAAGGATGAAGTCACCTTTTCCCTACTTTCTGACCTAGGTTGTAAGAATCCAGCGGTTCGTGTGCTGACTGGAACCATGGTTTCATCAGAAGTCCCCCCAGTGAAATGCACTCTGCAATCCTCCATCTGGCACATAGGGTATACACATTGGGACTAAATGGCTCTGGCATGACTGTAGATAATCTAGGTCTTGCAAGACATGAGGTCCCTACCACCACCTCTGTCATAAGTACTGAGCTCTGCCACTGGGACACAACAGTAGCCAAAGACAGCATGTGAATGATATATGTGGCTGTGTTCCAGTAAAACTTTATTTACAAAAACAAGTATTTTTATCTGTGGGCTGTAATTCCCCAACCTTCATTTCTAGAACAGGAAGTGATGTCAGGCTAAGGCAGGGAGTGGAGAAGAACAGAGAGCCCATATAGCTTTCCCACTGCCTGAGAAAATGTCACTTAGGCTCACACTTAGAGGGCTGATGCCTGTCATGTGGCCCCACCTGCCTGTCAGAGGGCAGGAGATATGAAGGTATAAATGGAGCATCTAGAATTGTTCTAATACGTGTCTGTGAAATTATGTCCTGCATGATTTTGCATTATGCTTGTCTCATTCCTAGTTCAAGGGCAGAAAATCCATGTGTTTTGAAATCACCCATGAGCTCTCCTGTCATAAAGAAAGGGACAGAATATTTCCCTCTGGATTAACATATTTTTCTGAATTCTCTAATAAGCTGAAATGAACTTCCCCTGATAGAATCAATGCCACTTTCCACCAGAGTTTTGACAAAGGCAAAGGCCACATGGTGCACAGCCTGGACCCAGAAATGAGAAGCACAAACTCACAGGGCCAGGACTACTCCAGGTTTTCCCCCTGGGCAACTAACTCTTCTACATCCTTGACCAAAGCACTTTGCCCCTTAACCTGAGAAGGCCAACCTTTTTTGCCTTCTTTGGCCAACGAGACTCACACAGATGGATGAGGGAGGAAGTCACATCCTTAATCTGGGTAGATCAGCCAGCCCAACCTTGGCAATGGAGAGGACAGCGGATGTCACAAGATATCAACTTCCTATCAGATAAGCCAGATCCACAAGCTGTGAGGACTGGGTGGATGTAGGAGTCCATGTCCTAACAGAAAGTGTCCCAAGGGGAAAACAGATGGTAGTGTCCAAAGAAAGGGAAAAGGAAACTAAAACAGCAAAGGGAACTCAGAATTTCTGTTTAGATGACAATGATATCATCACCGAGTTCTTTAAAATCTGATGATGTTGGCCTGGAATGGGGGAAAGATGAGAGTACTGGAGAACAGATGAGAACATGCCAAACTTCATTCTTAAAGAAGGCACTGTGCGCGTGCGTGCGTGCGTGCGTGCGTGCGTGCGTGTGTGTGTGTGTGTGTGTGTGTGTGTTTCACATGGATGCATATGTGCTGCAGGTGGATTCACCTCTGCAGGTCACGTGGCAGTCAGAGGTTGATGTTAGGATGTACCCATCATCGCCTCGCCACCTTCTGACACAAAGTCTCTCCCTGAACCTTGACAGATGTCTCTGCCCTAGGCACTGGGGTGATGGACTCGCACTGCCACACCTGGCTCTTATGTTGGTGCTGGAGATCTGAAATCATGCTTACCTAGCAAGCACTTTACCCACTGAGCTATGTCTCTGGTGCTTGGTTCTTTTGTTTGTTTGTTTGTTTGTTTGTTTGTTTTTCCGAGACAGGGTTTCTCTGTATTGTTTTGGAGGCTGTCCTGGAACTCACTCTGTAGACCAGGCTAGCCTCAAACTCACAGAGATCCGCCTGCCTCTGCCTCCTGAGTGCTGGGATTAAAGGCGTGTGCCACCAATGCCCGGCTTGGTGCTGGGTTCTTAGCTGCAGCATCTCAACTACCTGTCCATCAATGCCTCCTTTTCTGGCATGCCAGTGACCAGGATAAACTGTTCCCACTTTACAGTCAACTCCAGCATTCATTGATGGGGGTGACACTACCATTGATGGGGGTGACACTACCATGAAGTCTGTAACAAGTCAAAGCTAAAACACACAGATGTCATGGGTCAGGCAGGGCACACACATGAATATAGTGGCCTGGTTAGGAAACAATGAGGAGATATGGAGACTGTGCTGAACCATGTTAAAGGGAGACCATCCCTCAGGATGCTGACCCCATTTTTAAAAGGTGCTAGAAATCTGATTTAGATGATGACAACTATAGTGTTTAAACCCATAATGAACCATAGGATGATGACCTGATACTTGGCAATCTGAGGTGAACATTTATACCAAACATTGGATTACCACAGCAGTGAAGACTGCCTCCTGCTCTTAACCAGGAACTGAGTTTGGTTCCCAGCACCCACACTGAGTAGCTCACAACTGCCTTTATCTCCAGTTCCAGGGTCATCAGACACCTTCTTCTGGCCTCCACTAGCACCTGCACACATAACACACACACACACACACACACACACACACACACAGAGAGAGAGAGAGAGAGAGACAGAAACACATGTGCACACACATATTTAAAAAATAAACTATTTTTTTAAAAAGAGATGTTTGTTCATAAGATATCACCACCCAAGTTTTTTTTTTAACAAGAGGCCCAGAAGTCATCATACATGAAAAATTCCACTATCTATAGCATATATGTTTCCAAATGATGTCAAGGCATGTACACATGCTTATGGTTGAAGTTCCCTAGTATGAATAAAAGCTATAAATTGGAGGTCACCTCTCCATTCTTTCTTCCTCGGGGGTTGTGTCTTATAATGGTTAGCTCATGGGTTTTGTCATCAATTTTACTAGGATTAATATCCTAGTTCTGACCTGGATTGGTGATGTAGACCTTTAATCCCAGCAGTCAGGATGTAGAAGCAAGCATATCTCTGTGATTTCAAGGACAACCTGTTCTATGTATCGAGTTCCTGAGCTACACAGTGAGATCTTGTCTCAAAATAAAACCTAGAGCTAACACACAAACCATCTGGGCAAGCTGTTACATTCTCAGACTTCTTTTTTCCTACCTATTCATAAGGTCAGATCCTTTTAGAAACATTTCTGTCCAAGTCATCAAAGAAAACAAAAGATGGTTTCTAGAGTTACAATCCCAAGGAGAAATTGAAATAACTTAAAGAGTTATTTGCGAGGATGACATAAGGCAGTGTTTGAGGCCAGTCCAGGCTCATACTAAGACCCTGCCACAGATGAATAAATATTTTGTTCTTAGTGATGTTTCCCAAATAGAAGGGAAATTCCAGCACATGTTATACACACAGAGAGAGAGAGAGAGAGAGAGAGAGAGAGAGAGAGAGAGGTCTAGAGAGAAAGAAATCAATTACAATCTTCCAGTAAGCTGAATAATAGGGCCAAATTCACTATAATCTTTTGAAATAAAATATCCCAGCCTACTTTGTAGGAATTGAATGGCCATGTGGAACTACTAAACAGAGGTCCCTAAGCTTTGCACTGCCCAAGAATCACCTGGAAAGGTTTATATGCATTCCCATCCAAAACATGCCCAGAGCATTCCAACTGGGTAAATCAGATGTGAGCCTGGGAACCTGCGATTTTTCAGCTCTGAACATCCCCCCACCCCACCGTTGCCTCCCGAGGATTTAGATCCCAGAATTTAATAAGCGCCTCATGGTCCAGTCCTGGCAACCTTCTTCCCCCAAAGCGTAAAGGAAAAGGCACACTAAGGGTAGCCTTAGCTCAGTGGTCAGTTTTCCTTTACATCAGCAAACTCACTGTCCTAGTTTGTTCTAAGTCAATGCCAGGGAGGGGAGTAAGGTTACGGATGTGTGCATGTCCCCTGCAGGCTCTGTTGGAAAAATCTGGAAGCCAGCAAGGATTTCATGACTGCATGCAGAGGTCATCAAGCCTGGGTGAGGCAAAACCATAAATGTAGATTTCTGAATTTAATTCAAAATTCCTCTATAAAGAAAACAACCAATTTGCCAAAACTGTAAAGTTTTTTTCTTTCAAAAAACAAGGGAGCCAGGCATGGTGGCACATCCCTTTAGTCCCAGCATTCAGGATGTAGAGGTGGGAGGAGCTCTGTGAGTTCAAGGTCAGTCTGGTCTCTATGTAGCTAGAGAGCTCCAAGACAACCAGGACTACACAGTGAGACCCTGTCCCAAGCCAAACCAAACAAACACACACAAACAGGAGCTAGAGAGATGACTCAGTGGTCAAGAGCACTGGCTGATCTTTCAGAGGAACTGGGTTCAATTCCCAGCACACACTCAGGTGGCACACAACTGTCTATAACTCCAGTTCCAGAGAATCTGATGCCCTCTTCTGGTCTCCAAGGACACCAGGCATGCACACAGGACAAATACGTATATGCAGACAAAACACTCATATCCAGAAAATAAAAGCAGATAAAGCTAAACAAACTAATAATAAATGGACTGGAGAGATGGTTCAGAGCCTGAGAGCATTGGCTCTCTCTTTTAGAGGACCTGAGTTCAGTTCCCAGTACCACATCAAGCAAGCCCACAAGCACCTACAACTGCAGCTCCAGGAGATCTAACGCCCTCTTATGGCCTCCAAGAGCACTGCACTCA